TAATCTGGATTTAGGTATAAAGCATTTATTATGTAAGTGGTTCACTATGCTTTACTATGAAGAAGGGGGAAAAATGCTCTTGCCTATACATATTCAAAACGTTGAACTAACATTATTTCTGTAGACCTTTCCTTATTTTTCTCATGGTAAGAAGGAAAAGATGTAAATCCAAGGTAACTGCCTGATGGTACAATTTCTTTAAATAAAGTTGAAGATATAGATATGATGTCACTGGTTTCTTCTTCCAAACAGAGAACAAGGGGACCTGGATCAGGGGCTTTCTTGTTTGGCTTTCTGCCTGACTCCCAAAAGAATATTAAAAATAATACACTACATAATGTTTAAACACATTTAGCTCTATAAGAAAGAGCCCATTTTAAGATCTTATTTCTGACTCAGATGCTGTGGTCATCCTGGAATAACCTTAATATGCAAACTCTTCCTATGAGATTTTTGTTTAGCTTACTCTTACAAACGTTGCAGACTAATATTAAGCATTGGTGTTAAGCAATATTTTCATCAACAAATTCACTAAAATAGAACCCGAGAATGTTGAGGTCAGAGGCCACCTTTGAAAGCATATGGTTTAAGTCCCTTATTTCACAAATGGAGAATCCTGAGAACAAAGGCGAAGGCAGTCATGGAAATAGCGGCAAAGTCCAGAGCATTGCTCCATAACAAGGGGTCTTAGGCCTTGTGTACTTACTTATTCAGCTCGTGCCAATAAGTCTTATTATGGTATTCATGGCTGAGTCTATTAAAATGCTTCCTTAACCCCAGATCTCATTCCTCTTTCACACTGTAGACTCACACTGCTAATAATATACTTTGGTATCTGGTTAATTTCACTTTGAGGCAAAATTTAAAAGAAAGTGCTTTTGGATTTGACAGTGGATCTGAGAGGCAAGTGTTTCACTTAGCCATGTAGCAATAGACATGTAACAGGATTCCAAACTGTACTTTAATATAAATCTCAATCTTCATCCAAAAAATTTTCATTGTCCTCAGTTTTGAACTATAGGAATTTTGTAAGCATGATTTAAACACGTCCTCTAGACTCTAAACCATTTGGCTTATATCCAGCTCGTGACAGTCGTCTTTGATTCTGTCCTTTGTGGGAGCCTCTATATCAGTGGCTCCAACATTGACTCCATTAGAATCATTGCGGATACTTTAAAAGATGAAACGTGCTAGGTAGTACATGAATTAAATTGCTGATATGAAATTTGAGGCAAACTAAATCTATAGTGGCAGACAGCAAATCAGTGGCTGTCTAGGACCAAAAAAGGGATGAATTGACTTAAATGGGACAGAAGAGAACTTTCTATATTTAATTGCGGGTGGTAGTTACATAGGTGTATGTATTTGTCCCTACTCTTTGAACTTTCACTTAAGTTGGGTGCATTTTTAGCTGATAATTATACTTCAATAAAGTTAATTACCTCTCAAACAGACAAACAAAAAATGTAATAAGGGCCTACATGCAGAGATTCTGGCTAAGTGAATTTTTCATGAGTTTCCACTATCAACATATGAGATTCAAATGACAAACCATGGTTAAGAACTTCTCTTGTAGATACTAGAATCTAAGGTGAGCTTTCTCTAATTGACCTGTGAGGTTTCAAATCAAGCATTTTAATCTCCCTCATTTAAAATAACATCATAAATACCATTTTCAAAGGCAGGCTTAAATTAATTGACCTGCCTTGATAGTATTAGCAAAGGCTTTTTTGATGACTGTGAAATGTAAAGTGGACATATATATATTTTTTCTTAGTTTTGTGCTCCCTTCCAGGAATGTAAGCAATTTCTCCGTCCTGAATTATTGGTTCAGCTGCATTGCTTTGTGTTCCTATCACTGTCCCTATTACTCAAAACGCGCTCAAGTGAGTGCTGCGTGCTTGAGGACACTTTCTTTGTGTGTGCAAGAACCGCCTGATCTTAAGCAAATATGCATTTTTGGAAAGTGTAAGTAAGTAGGATACTGTGTAGGAAAGCACTGTGAGACAAAATCTTAGAGGGCATTGGGAATTTCAATTCTATGTATTGTTGAGTTAGCAGATATCATCCTTTGTCTCAGAATGGTACCTTCCAAAGCACTGAGAATGTCAGTTTGCGATCTTGAGGCGTCTTAAGTCACTGAGTCCCGAGCCCCATCCAGGAACTGTAGATGTAGTCAGTGTATATCTGGACTCAGTACTCAGTTCCCTACACGTACTTCTCACCCTGTATTGAGACTATCTTCACCTCTAACCTGTGGGCTCCTTCAGGGCAGGAATTATATATTTCATACCTGTGTTACCAGTTTACAAAATGTTGCATGGCGTAGGCAAGGTCCTAGGTCATGGAATGAGTTAATAAAATTCAGAAGCCAAGCACTTGTAACTACATATTGAAATATACAAAATACAAGTGAATTAGAAAATGCAGTGACCTTCATAATTAATGCATTTGTTCTAAACACTGCTTCCTCCTTTTGGTTTTTTTGGGGGTTATTTTCTTCAATGTTGGATTGCATAACTAAAGAGTATGAAAATGTCTCAAAGCATCTACTGCATACAAAATATCAGGCTATGTTCTATGTAGGAATAGTGAGAGGCTATGGATTTAATGTATTGGGACAATGAAATGATCTGGCTGACATCACATAGCAGGTTAATCACTGTTTTCCTGGATGAGAGCTAAAGGAAGGTCTGTGCTCCAGGCTTCTAAAAATAAAGATCTGCATTCTTGTATTTAACAACACTCCATATTCCAAGGTAACATCTCCATATCTCTATTGGCTACTGTGTGTGTACAGAAATTCTAACTGCTGTTATTTTTACCAATGAAATATTCTTCTGTTGAGCTAATAAAATGCAGCAGTTGTGGTCAGGGATGCACTAAAGAATCACATTTTGCTTATAAAATTTGATGACAAAATTTGTTTCATCAGGAATTACCTATGATCCCCAAATTCAAGTGATCCCCTTTGGGTGCTTGTCTTGGCATATGCAGTTCTTTTTTTGTGGGAGAATCCCTTGACCTCAAGAGTTTGAGACAAATTTGGACAACATGGTGCGACTGCATCTCTATCAAAAAAAAAAAAAATCTAAAATATAGCTGGGCATGGTGGTGCACACCTGTAGTCTCAACTACTCAGGTGGCTGAGGAGAAAGTATCACTTGAGCCCAGGAAGTCAAGGCTGCAGTGAGCTATGATATTTCCACTGTACTCCAGCCTGGATGACAGAGTGAGACCCTGTCTCAAAAAGAAAAAAAAATAGCTATTTTTCATGTCTAGAAACATCGAAATTTACTACTACAGAAATGCAGGACATTTCTGGGCTCTTTAGATACACTCTCTTATGAGTTGTCTTCTTCAATCATTTATTGCCAAAATTTTAATAATTACCCCTCCTGTATAACTGTGCACTAAGGTGACTTTTTCTTTTTTAAAAAACATTTATCGTGCTCGCTTCTGCAGCAAATATACTAAAATTGGAATGATACAAAGAAGATTAGCATGGCCAAAATTAAAAAAAGAACCAAAAAACGTTTATTTTAAGTTCTGGGATACATGTGCAGGACACGCAGGTTTGTTACCTAGGAAAATGTGTGCCTTGGTGGTTTGCTATCCCTATTAATCCATTGCCTAGGTATTAAGCCCCACATACATTAGCTATTTATCCTGATGATCTCCCTCCCCTACCTCTGCCCAGACCCCAGTGTACGTTGTTCCCCTCCATGTGTCCACATGTTCTCATTGTTTAGCTCCCACTTATAAGTGAGAACATGTGGTGTTTGGTTTTCTATTCCTGTGTTAGTTAGCTAAGGATAATGGCTTCCACCTCCATCCATGTCCCTGCAAAGGACATGATACCATTCCTTTTCATGGCTGCATAGTATTCCATGGTGTTTATGTACCACATTTTCTTTATCCAGTCTATCACTGATGGGCATTTGGGTTGATTCCATCTCTTTGCTCTTATGAATAGTTATGCAGTCCTTTTTGTAAGAAACTGGCTTCCTGATCTTTATCAGCATTAATCCCATTTCCATACCACCATGTACTTCTTCCTCTAAAGTTTAACCTTCATAGATTTATTTTTTAGTTTTTTGTAATTGTATTATTATGTATCAAAATATATTTTCTATTATGGATTCAAGGAGCTAAACAATGGGTTCACATGGACATAAAATGGAAATAATAGACACTGGTGACTCCAAAATGGGGGAGGGTGTTGCGGGAGTGAGGGTTGAAAAATTATCTTCAGAGATTTCTGTTTGTTCCCACTCACAGGCTCCAAGGCACTGCTGAAATTTTTGGCAGAAACAATTCCCTTCTCCTACTGTGTGATACAAATGCTGGTGTTTTTGTTCTTTGTGACTACTGAATGCAAACTTCTATCCTCACTGGGCAAGGACATTTATATGCCAATCAGACAACCCATGCTCTATCCTGTCACTATGTTCCACGTTTTTTGTATCCAACTAGTGACTCCATGTTACAGGCATGGAGTTATTCATACTATGTTTTTAGGAGGTTCAATCTTTATATTTGACTTGCGTAAGTTCACATCAGCAGCATCGTTTTTGATGACAATTTCCCACTCTTGGTCCTCTCCTGCTCAGATACCTACATGATGAATTCTTTCTTCTTTTTCATTGGGTGCTTCATCTAGATGCACTCTTGACTGGTCATCCTTGTCTCCCACATGTTCATCATTGTCACTTTCTTGAGGATCTTCTCAAATCCAAAGACTCTCCTGCTTATTCTTCACATTTAACTGCTATCATTCTCTTCGATGGAGACATTATATTTATATATGTGACATTCTTCCAACTATTTTCTGGACCAAGGCCAGGCTATATCCATTTTCTACATGGTAAGAATTCTTTTGTCAACCCGCATTATCTATTGTTTAATAAAAATGCAAGCGATTTATTTTCTTGAAAATGCTTCTTTATAAAGTTCCAGGCCAGTCTGGGTAAGAACTGCACAAGAAGATGCTTAAGAAATTTCTTATTTTTAAAAATGTTTAACACATAAGTATATTACTTTGAACTGAAATTTTCATTTGATTCCTCATATTCTTTTAGTTTTTTCCACATCTGTATTTTTTTTCAAGTTATTTTCTTTCCTTCTTTTGGACAGCGTTTTAAATCCCTGTCCCTCTTGAGGTAAACTTCCAGATGACTTGCAATATAGGTAATGTTCTTTTGGACCTTCAGCTTCTAAATATGTGAAGAATAAGGAAGGAAGAAAGAGAGGGAAATTCACACGTAATAAGAATATAAGATGTGCCAGGTGCTTTATACCCAATATTTTACTTAGCCTATAAAACAAATCATTGATATAATTATTATTAACCTCACTTTTCACATGTAGAAATTGAGGTCCAAATAAGTGAAATGACTTGCTCAAGGTCATACAGCTAAGAATTGGATTGAGAATTATATAATTAAGAATTAAAGCCAGCTCTGTTTGGATACTACGTCTATGAATTTACCTTTCAAAAACTCCTTCACCTTAATTTCCAGTAGGCATTCCATTCTGTTCTCAATCAAAATGCAAAAGCACCATTCATTTTTCAATGTGTGTTTTTTCCTTTGGTTGCTAAATGGTCGATACAAGACTATATTAGACTGTAAGGTCCCTGGGACAGGAGCTATCTTCCTTATCCGGTATTGGGAGCATTATGAGCAGATATGTATGTAACAAAGGCATTGAGTTTCCTCATTTCTTCATACACAATCTCATAAGTATGTCACATTTTAAAAAATATTTTTGAAGCATATCACTGTTGACTCCATCTACAAATGAATTTGTTCTGGCCACGGAATATGCAATCAGATCTACTGAAGATCCAGATATTTTAGGATCAGTTGATTGATTTATCTAAAATTCCAGACTCAGGCATAGTTGTGACCAAGATCTTGGACTTACGGGCAAATTTTTATTCATTCATTTCATAAGTAGTTTTAGCCCTTACTCTGTAAAAGGGTCCAGGATGGAGAGTAGGGCCTCAGAAATGAAGACATAGTCTCTGTCTTCTTCAAGCCACATTTTCAGAAATGCTCCCTTCCCTCCAAAATGGCAAAATCAGCATCATAGAGGCAGGGCCTTTTCTTTGGTAGTTACATTTGCAATACAGACACTATGGAAAAAGATTTTGTGTCATCTCACCAATTCCTTAGGCTGAACACAATCTGCTTGGGCCTCTTCTGGCCTTGTGATAGGTCCTGGGAATTGCAATCTTATTTTGTTGGTATGGCAACATTCCATCTCTTTACTTCCTTTTTTGTATATCTTTATTTTTGCTTGTCTCTCATCAACTTGGTGAGTGTGTTTGTCCTACAACAAGAATCTTGAGTAGTTTAGAAGGGGCTAGGGAGGCATGGAGATCTTCCTCAGGGCATGAACAAACTGTAGTCAGTCACTAGTATAAATTCTTGCACCCTATTAGAGACCAAATTTCTATATATGCCCAAGTTAAAGTGATGAGTAGACTGAAAGGGCAGGCCCCCAAGTCCCTTGCCCCAGCTTTAAACACAACAGCTCTGCTTCTATCTTTTTAATATGCACTAACTTTCCCCTTAACCGATCTTTATATAAACGCTCTAGATTAAATACACTATCCATTCTCTGTGCAAAACTTTCTGGCCAGTGGTAATGCTTCAGTGAATAACTGTAACTAGTTGGCTAGTCTCTCTCCGTCTCTCTCTTCTGAGACAGGGTCTTGCTATGTTGCCCAGGCTAGAGTGCAGTGGCATGGTTACAGTAATCCTCTCGCCTCAGCCTCCCAAGTAGCTGGGACCATGCTTGGCTATTTCTTTAAAATTATTTTGTGTAGCTATGGGGTCTTTCTATGTTGCCCAGGCTGGTTTTGAACCCTTACTTCAGGCAATCATCCCACTTCAGCCTCCCAAATTGCTGGAATTACAGATATGAACCACTGTGCCAGCCAGTTGGCTATGCTCTAATATGCCCACATCATTATGGCCCTGTGCCACCGATCCTGTCTTACCTTACAAAGTGGCAATTGTGTTTTTCCCAGAACCTGTTTGTGTTACTTGCACTTGTTAATCATAATTTTATTTTTAAAATTTTATTTAATTTTCTTATTATTACACTTTAAGTTCTGAGATACCTCTGCAGAACGTGCAGGTTTGTTGCATAGGTGTACAAGTGCCATGGTGGTTTGGCACACCCATCAATCATTCATCTACATTAGGTATTTCTCCTAATGTTATCCCTCCCCTAGGCCCCCACCCCCGACAGGCCCTGGAGTGTGATGTTCCTCTCCCTGTGTCCATGTGTTCTCATTGTTCAATTCCCACTTATGAGTGAGAACATGTAGTGTTTGTTTTTCTGTTTTTATGTTAGTTTGCTGAGAATGATGGTTTCCAGCTTCATCCATGTCCCTACAAAGGACATGAACACATTCTTTTTCATGGCTGTATAGTATTCCATGGCATATGTGTGCCACATTTTCTTTATCCAGTCTTATCATTGATGGGCATTTGCGTTGGTTCCAAGTGGTTGCTATTGTGAACAGTGCTGCAATAAATGTATGTGTGCATGTGTCTTTATAGTAGAATGATTTATAATCTAAATTGCCTAAGTTAAGTTTAATTAAAATTATATGAACCAATGCAATATGAAGACAAAAGAAAGTAGTTTCTGTAAAAACTAAGTTGCGTGCATTGAAAAGACTCAAAAAAGGCACGTCACTAAAAATGTTGTATTAAATTAGATGTAAAAGATTGCAGACAAAATTGAAAACTACCTACTTAGAATTAAACATGTAGCTTACTTTGTGATTGTCTTTAAGTTCTTGCTTTCCTTAAAAAAACTGAAACTGGAAGCCAATGCTGATACATCATGAATGATACATTTTGGGGAGGGGGGATTTATATAGAAATGGTTACACAGAACTCAGTCAGTTGACCCACAGTCAAAGAAAATACCCTGGCCCTACATGCAAAGATTAGCTAAGGAATATATCTTTACATAGAGTAAGTCAATATAGCGTATTCTGAAAAAAAAGTATTAAGGATATGTATATAAGGAGGTTTAATGACTCGTTGCTTTAATTGACTTTTTTTTTTTTAAATTGAGACGGAGTTTCGCTCTTGTTACCCAGGCTGGAGTGCAATGGCGCGATCTTGGCTCACCGCAACCTCCGCCTCCCGGGTTCAGGCAATTCTCCTGCCCCAGCCTCCTGAGTCGCTGGGATTACAGGCACGTGCCACCATGCCCAGCTAATTTTTTGTATTTTTAGTAGAGACAGGGTTTCATCATGTTGACCAGGATGGTCTCGATCTCTTGACCTCGTGATCCACCCGCCTCGGCCTCCCACAGTGCTGGGATTACAGGCTTAATTGACTTTTAAAATTAACTAACCAATATAAAATCCAGATTGAATTGGCTAAAAACTTCTTCATAATACAGACTCCTGCTTAAAATTTTATCTTGAAAAAGACAAAGGAGAAGGATGAGAAGGAGGAAGGAGGAGGAGGAGAAGGAGAGGAGGAGGAAGAGGAGAATAAATAGAAGAATCATCCAGTGCTTCTCTAACTGTATGGGATGACTAGTTTTTTTTTTTTTTTTTTAATTTCCAAGTTTTCATAGACAAAAGCTTTTATAAAATAAAAATTTCAGGGAATGTGAAATTTCTCCATGTTTCTAAATGCTCAGTCTCAGTTTCTAAACTTATCTCATACCTAATATCTCTATTGGCCAGTAACAAATAGTTGTGTGATTGGAATAGACCTGTACACTACACTTTGAGCAGTACTAAGTAGATCTAATGTGGTGCCAGTGTAGCCACAAAGCCATGAATCCATCCCTGAAAGATGTCACAAACAAAGAGCCAGGTTCATTAAACCTGGCAGTTTAACTCAGTGGGGCACATCTCAGTGGTACCAGGTGCATGAATAGCCTAAAGTTTCCTTCATGACCAAATGTTAGGATATTATAAAGATATGGCATAAAAGAGCCCTGATATCATCACTAAACTTTCATTTTGTATGACTTCCATACACATACAGAAATCCTTATTTACCTCAAGTCCTTCTATTATTGTATGTTTTATAACTAATTTTCTTCGTCTCTCTTGATTATTTTGGACTCATAGTACCTACCCAGTATGGCACTTTCTTAGCCTCCTGCCTAAGAAAGTTTTAACTCAAGTGTCCTATGTATATGGCCAATGTGGGGAGCTGGGAGGCAGATGCTAGTATAACTGAGTCATGGATTATATCAGTGGGAGAGTGAAGCTCAGAGACATTAATTACTCATCTAGGATAACCTAACAGGTAGGCGCAAGATAAATTAATACTTTCATTCTGAAAAATGATAATTTTTTAATTCAATTGATCTTATTGAGCACCCACTCTGTTCTCAGCATTATACTCAGACTAGGACTACAGAGATGAATAAAACACAGCTCTGCATCATTCCCCCAAAGAGCTCAAGGCATGTTGGATAACACCACAAATGATAATTATAATTCATTTGCTAAGTGATATAATAACAAGTGCTATAGAGGAGAAAAGTAGGTAATTTTATCTAGAGACATGTGAGAATTATGGAAGAATTTACAAAGGATGTAACACTTGAGATGGAGCCTTAAATAAAATGTTGAATGTCTGTAGGAAGAGAGAGTAGAACAGGGACTGGACATAATATGTAGATTAAAAATTCATAGCAAATTCATAGACTGCTCAAAGAATGACAAAGTGTCCAGTGTAGCTAGAATGTAGGATGTGCCAAGGATTGTGGGAGTTAGTGATGGTTCATACTCCTGGAATTATAGGTGGGTCCAAGCGATAGAGGATCTTCAATGCTGAAGAACTTTGACTTTGGTGGGGAGCCTTGATAGGGCTCAGAGAATGAAAAGTGACATGACTGTTCTTGCCTTACTTTTTTCTTCTCTTGGTACATCATTTTTCTTGCCTAGCATGTGGGAACACTATAATATATAATATTTACTTTAAAGTGCTATTGTGAGATTCAAGTTATAGTTTGGAAGTTATGAACTTTAACATGGTATTATCTAAAAGGTATTTTAAGATATCATCAACAGTTCCTCCCTTCCTTTTTTCTTCCCTTCCTTCTTTCTTTATCTATAATCTAGTGGGTAAGGTTTGATAGAGGGAGGAGACAGAAACTAAAAAATAGAGAACAATTGTTAAGCGCAATGCAATCATGAGCTTATTCAGGGAAAGTTCTGTATGTGAGTGTTAAAGACTGTGAAATAAAGGAGCATTTTGTTTTGTTTTGTTTTGTGTTTTTTAAATGGGAAGATGAGTGTGATCTAGAGTATTGGGTCTGGATTAAGGGCAGGAACTGGATGGGAAGGAAACTGCCAAGGAAGCACAATAGCCTGAGATTCTGGATCCTCTATGTGCTCATCAAATCTAAAAAGTTAATACAGGAATCTCTATGGCAGGGCACACCATTTCCAGAAAAACGTTGTCTGCTGAGTGGTCTACTCAGGGCTCCTTTCATGTCCTTGTTACTTAGACTACAGATAAAGGAGTTGATCAAGCAATTACAGTTGTATACATGATAGCAGCTACCTTATTATTCCTTCCTGCTGAGTAGGCAAAAGAGGAGGGAAGGTAGACTCTAATGATCAACCCACAGGAGACCTGGAATACAACTGAGAGATGGGAACCACATGTAGAGAATGTTTTCTACTTCCCATTGGCTGATGGAAACTCCAAGCATATTGCTGCCAATATGGGCATAGAAGACAAGAAATGAAGGTGAAGGGAATGAAGATAATTACTTCCACAATGACAATAATTATCAATTTGTTTATGTGGGTGTCTGAGCAAGCAAGCCCTAAAATGGGTTCCAGGTCACAGAAGAAATGTGAAATCACAGAAAGTTAAGTGGCTCAGCAGGCTGAGATGCAGTATTGGGACAAGGTTGGGGATCACCCATGGAGTCACAACCAACAGGGCACAGATCTTAGGACTCAGTAATACCACATATAGTGTAATGGGTGACAGACAGCAATGTATCCGTCTTACGCCATGTCTGTCAACAGAAAATTGTCCAGATCCAACAGGAACATTTAAAACTACATTTGTGCGGGGCATCCTTTAAAGGATATGGTTAGATTCCGGCTTTGAATATCTGCCAAATTTTGGGGGACTGTAGTGGTTGTGAAGCAGATGTTAGTGAAAGTTAGATTGTCAAGGAAGAAGTATATGGGGCCATGGAGGTGAGCATCACTGATAATGGCCAGGATGATAAGTAAATTTCTTAACATAGTGACCAGATACGTGCATAGAAACAGCATGAAGATAAACTGCTGCTCTTTAGACCTCACCGTGAGTCCCAGGAGAAAGAATTCAGAGACAGTGGTTCAATTTCCTTCGTGCATGGTTCTGCTGTGTCTAAAAGCGGAAAAATTTTAACTTCATTGTAAAATGGTAACATGACACAAAAGCCCACCAGTGTATTATACCACATTATAGAACAGAATGAGGCCTTGGAACCAGAAACTCTTGGGTCATATTCTCCCCCTACTAAAATACAAGTTTCATAAAGGCATGGATATTATTTTTTATGTTCAGTGCTGTACATCAGTACTAAAGACAGTGCCTGTCACATAGTAGGTGATTAACAAACATTGATTGGATTTATACAAGAATGAGTGAATAAATGAAAAGAAGAATATTCTAGAATTATAGCTCACTATCTTCATGACATTGTTATCTGTGCTTTTCTAAAGCTATTTAATCAATTTTGAAATGTGGAGAATATCCACTTTACAGGAGTTTTGTGAGGATTGCAAGGACACCTGTAAAATGCCCAGGCCTGCATTTTAGCTGTTACTGCACAAATAGTAGCTGCTATCATTCACTAATTTAGGAGAATCACAGACTCTAAAGGCAAAAATAAATCTCCAGAGATGATCTGAACCAGTCCCTGCCTTTGGGCATGCAAGTGCCCAAATACACCGCTGATCACTTTTTCATGCTCCAGAGACAGACTCCACAATCCCCTTAGAGCATCTGATTCAAAATTTTATCCTGTATGAAATTCACTACTTCCTGAAATCTTTCTTGTTTTCACATTTCAACAAGGAAAAAGTAGTTATCTATATTAAATGGTGCTGAAAAATAATGTAAAATATCCACTGAATTAAGTAACATACAGGTAGTGTTTAGTGTCTTTAACAAGATCATTTGTAGTGGAGTTGATTGGGCATAAACCAAAATGAAGAAAGTTTAGGGTTAACACTTTAAGACTTAGTGTTTATTGAGGTTAACTATGTTGTAGACATTCTTCTAAATGCTTTACATGTCCTATCTTATCAAATATTCACCACAACCTTATGAGTTAAGTAGGACTACTAAGATGTTCAATTTACAGATAAGGAAATCAAGGATTAAAGAAGTTGAATAAGTTCATTAAATTGATATATAGTCAGTATAGTGGAGTTAGGATTCTGAGCTCAGTCAGTCAAATTTCAGAGCCCTCTTGCTGAACTACTTTGCTATATTGCTACTATACTACTATGTCTTCATGTATGTGAAGGAGGGGTTCAAGAAATAATATTTGTTGAGAATCACCTGTGTTCTAGGACCAAAGATCATGCTCAGCTGAAGTCACAAAGCTAGTAAGTGCTGGAGCTAGGCTTTGAATCTTAACTTGAAAATGTTTTTGCTATATCTGTACAAATCCAAATAGAGGAAATGGGCTTACAAATGGAAAAATTTGTCTTTGCTTATTCCACTTTGTACCTCATCTAAATTGTTCTATATGCTACTGTGAGATCCATTATGCAATGGCTACTTACACAGAGGCCTGCCATGTCTTCATACCGCCTTCCCCGTCTAACACTAAACAGCCATTGTGTAAATTCACATACTTTTGCAGGTTTGCTGTTTTACTTCGTACCTGCTATGAAAAAAGAGGTTGGTAGTACTAATGAATAGTTGAAGCGAGACTGCAGGAAGAATGTTGCACTTATTTAATAGCGCATTTTTTTCTAAGTACTATAGCAGTACTCATTTGCATACTAACAAATAAATGTGCTAATTATAAATCAGGCAGGATCAGGTCTGGTGGGACCTCTGCTTGGCAACACTTAGCCATTTTATTTGTACAGGATGTACTGAAAATAATAAAGTGGCATATTATTATGTATATGTAATCTAGGCTTTTCATTAATGTAGATTGTATTAGCAAAGTTTAGCAGCCCACATTCCTGATCCGACCTTCAAGGCACCATATCATTAGTTTTGTTTCATTGTTCTCATCTACTGTGCCCAAGCTGACACCATCTTTTACAATTAAGTGAATGTCTATCTTCAGTCTTTCGACCTTTATACTCGGGTTGCTAATTTGGTACAATACTTCTCCAATGAACTTGGGGAGCAAATGTTTGTATTTTGGGTTTGAGATTCCTTTCCTATGGAACTTTCCAGATGTTTTATAGCTAATGGCTATTTGTACTAATATTTGTAGCTAATAGCTATGAAACAGCTCCACTTCCTCCACTTAAAAAATTGTTAGTGATTTTCCCAGCTATGGATGTAAAGCTTTCCTCCTTCTAATGCAGAAAAAGACAGAGAAGAGGTCTGGAACAGTATTGAAAATCTCACCTGCTTATGTTGTCTCTGCACCTGAATTTAGAAAAAGAATCACCCTAGGACTCAGGTCACAATCCTCAAGGCTCCTCATTAGAAACAACTCCCAACTCCATCATATATGGACCAAGTCCTTTCTACTGGGATATATTGGTATTCACTGATATCCTGAGATGTTATATATATATATATATATATATATCAATATCAATAAAATTAAACCTTATATCTCTGTTACATTTATAGTCTAGTTAGAAAACTAAAACATCAACATTTGAAGAAAAATTTCACCATCCTTTATACCTAATAGTTGCCTTTAGCATCTCCATATAATCCAATAATGAACTGACTCAGGTAATACTTAGAGAACATGAAGAATGAAAGCAACTGGGTGTGGTAGCTCACGACTGTAATCCCAGCACTTTGGGAGGCCAAGGTGGGTGGATCACCTGAGGTCAGGAGTTCGAGGCCAGACTGGCCAACATGGTGAAACCCCATATCTACTAAAAATACAAAAACTAGTTGGGTGTGGTGCCAGGCGCCTGTTCCCAGCTACTTGGGAGGCTGCGACAGGAGAATCGCTTAAACACGGGAGACAGAGATTGCAGTGAGCTGAGACCATTGCACTCCAGCCTGGGCAACAAGAGCAAAACTCCACCTCAAAATAAATAAATAAATAAATAAAAACAACAAAAAAGAATGAAAGCAACATTGGAGTTCTTATTATTTGTCAGGCACTGTTCTAAGCCCTTCATGTGTAATAACTTATTTATTTTTGTAATAAAATTATGAGGTAGGTAAAATTATGATCCTTTTTTCACAATGAAGAAACTGAGGATAGAAAAATGTTATGTGACTTACCCAAGCAAGGGCTTCTAGGTTCTTAATCACTGTATTACACTATCTCTAAATAATCATAAGGGAGCTCTAGAAAAAAAAATCCCACCCAGAGAGCTTCACCAAAAATTATCTTCTCAAAATTCCATCTTATCATTCTCACTCCCTCCAGTCTCAGAAAATATCTTTACCACCTACTCAACTCTACCTCCAAACTTCCACCACTAAATCTAGAGACAATTCTACCTCCAAATTTAGATATAGACATTTCGACTCTTCTGTTTTTCCTTCATGTTACCATGGAGGTATATACTTCCTTCTATTAAAAGAAAATCCCCCCACCTATATTCTGGATTCCATCCCCTTTTGCCTTCCCAAAAGCCTTAAGGTATCAGTTAACTGCTTGCTTGTCTATATCTTCAACCAATATTTCTCTGCTGGGTTCTTGCTTAGGCTTTTAAACATGTTCTAATGTTTCCGATAAACAGACAAATAAAACACTCTGGATTCTTTAGTCCTCTCAGTTACTCAGCAATCACACTGCTACCATTAAACACAAATTTATTGAATTGTCTACATTTCTGTTTCCATTTCTTCGCTTCAACCCACTCCAATCTGTTTCTTGCCCCACACAACTTCACTGAAATAGCTCTTGATAAGGTTACAATGACACTCACATTGTTAAATTCACCCTTCTTGGCAACTCAACAACCTTCACCTCAGATAATTAGTCTCCTTTTCACATATATTCTCTTTCCTTTGATTTTGCAAATGTTAATCCCCTGGGTTTCCTTCTATCTCTTCTACCATCCTATCTCCACCTCTTTTCATGGCTCTTCTATATAACTCTTACATGTTTGTTTTGATTTCACAGAGATTTTCTTACTCACTCTACTCTCCTTGGAATAACATTATCCACTTTCATGACTTCAATTACCATATTTATCATGACGACTCTCAGTTTCTTATCTCTGGTTTAGCTCTCTCTTCTAAGCTTCATAGCCATACACCTAACTTACTATTTGCTATTATCTTCACTTGCATATCTCGTAAGTACCTCAAATTCAGTATTTTCCAAACCAAACTTATTATCTACTCATCCCACTGCCTGAAACCAATCTTGGCCCTCCTCAATTTTTCCTTACCTCAGAGAATTATAGCACTATCAATTTTTGTCATTTTTGACACCTCTTATTTCTCTTTCTTAAGATGCAATTATTTAAGTCCTATAGATTCCCCATCTTTAATATCTCTCAAATGTATCTGCTCTTCTCCATAACTCCATTCCAAGCCACCAATGATGCTTCTGCTTGTACTTTTCTTCCTTCCAAACAGTCTCTATGCTAATGCTTTTCAGTGACTTCCTGTTCCTTGTAGTTTAAGGTCCTTAATTATTTTTCTTCAACTTTTACTCTAAGTTCAGGAATACATGTGCAGAATGTGTAGGTTTGTTACAGAGGTAAACGTGTGTCATGGTGGTTTGCTGCACAAATCATCCCATCACTGAGGTATTAAGCCCAGGATCCATTAGCTAGTCTTTCTGGTGCTGTCCCTCCCTCACTCCTCCCATAGGCCCCAGTGTGTGTTGTTCCCCTCCCTGTGTCCATGCATTCTCATTGTTCATCTCCGGTGTTTGATTTTCTGTTCCTGCATTAGTTTACTGAAGATAATGGTTTCCAACTCCATCCATGTCCCTGCAAAGGACATGATCTTGTTCCTTTTTATGACTGCATAGTATTCCATGGTGTATATATACCACATTTTCTTTATCCAGTCTATCATTTATGGGCATTTAGGTTGATTCCATGTCTTTGCTACTGTGAACAGTGCTGCATTGAACATACACGCACATGTATCTTTATAATAGAATGATTTATACTCTTTTGGGCATACCCAGTAATGGGGTTGCTGGGTCAAATGGTATTTCTGTCATTGGGCTTTGAGGAATTGCTACACTATCT